TTTCCAAAAACTCTGTTACTTAGTCTCGGGATCAACGCGCGTCATTGGTCTGCCACTTCCTGTTACAACTAACGCTACTAACTGGCCGTTCCGACACGAAAAACGTCCCCTTCTGCTGAATAGCTTGTGTGGTATCTTGCCGATTCGGCGATGCTAACTACACATACATGACAACGTTCGTAACAAGTTGGTGTTGCGCAAAACACGCCAAATCTTGAAAGCACTCGCAAAATGCCTGTATCAGGACGAACTGAAACGCCAGGCTTGTGCGGCACTGTTCAAAATAACAGGAAGAATTATCAGCCCCACGTAATTGGCAAAAGCTCATGTAAGTTTTTTTTTTTTCAGTTTTGGCTCATTTCATTCACTTCACATTGTTTTTTTGTTTTAGCTGAAAAATGCGATGTTTCGTTTTGCTCGAATCTTTACGCTCGAACATTTTGAAGACTTCTAAATGCAACTCCAAATATGCAGTTTTAGTGCAAGCTTGAGATCTTTAGTTTTTATTTCCCATTCGAAGTATTGCTGGAATCAGTGTTGTAATTATTAGCGGTTTGGAGTCAGCTGCACCTCGTGTGCGACTATGGCTCATTATATATTACAACATTGATTCCGGTAATAATTTTATTGCTTTTTTTCTTTTAGATTGTTCGGCTAACTTATGCTTTTAATATTATCGCTTTTTTGAAGCGGTGTTGAAATTCGTTGCATTTTTCGGGCTTATTGCGAGTGCTGTTTTACTGCAGAGGAAATGTATAGCGTAAGTGATACTACAGAAATGGGGTTGCAAATGAACGATGAATTTTGACGCAAAACGAATGAAGGCTGCGATGCACATACGTCAGAAATTATAGCGTAGCGTAAATATCTCAAGAGTTTCTGGGTGTGAGGGTCAAGTACTGGTGAAATGCCGTTTGTAGAACAAAATCCATGTACGCTTCGGGAAGTTTACATGGATTTTTTTCATGAAAGATACGTCCATCGGCTTATCAGGTGAGATCTGCTGGGAAATATTCATTTATTACCAACTGGAACTGAAGAGAAATAACTGCAGCATTTTCGAATTTCCCATTTATGGTCGTTGTTGCTGCTGACGCGTTTGTCGCTGATCAGCTGAAGCCGGAGGCCTAGTAGCTGGAGCAGAGGGCCTAGTAGCTGAAGCTGAAGGCAAAGTAGCTAGAGCGGATGATGGTGTTGATGTTGATGATGTAGGAGTAATTCCAGTTGTCGTGTACTCATACAACTCCTCTTCGTCGGTACCCTCTTCTTCATCGGATCCCCGTTCCTCGGAATCGTCTGACGCCGCTGCTGAGGTATCCGAAGCGACGTTACTGCCCCTGCAAGCATATTCAACGTAATCACTCTTGCACGGATGTGTAACTCGCAGAGAAATTGACGGAAACTCCACTGCTTTGGTATATATTACAGAAGGTGGTCCACTGGCTTGCTTCTAAGTAGCCTTCAAAAAAGGGAGTCATCGATAACCTAAGACGTATATGACTTAATGGACCGAAACGTCTTATCTCGTTCTCACCATCAATCTGCACTACTACTTTCTTTTACACCTTTACACTCTGCCATCTGCACTTCCGGGGTTGACCTGGAAGCTGCAATCTGCTTGCCAGCAGATAGTTGTTGGCTTTTGCTACCAATCGGATTACTTCGAAATGCTTTCGCTTCTCGAGAGCAAGT